GCGCTGGGCGCGCCGGCGCTCGCCCGCCGGCGCCGCTGCTGCCATGGGCCCACCCCTCGCCCCCCCCAAACACACACACACACACACACGCGCGCGCGCGCGCGCACGCACACGCACATGCTAACGCGTGGGGCATCCCCTTCCCCCATTCCTCATCAACAGGACCTGCTGGTGGCTGCGGCGGACCAGCCGTTCCGCTTCCCGGCCACCTTCACGTTTGTGGTGCGCTCCTTCACCGTGCTGGACGGCATCGGCAAGACGCTCGACCCGCGGTGAGCGCTCAGCGCGCACACGCGCGCGCGCGCTGCCCCCGCCCGCCGCGGCCCGCGCCGCCGGCGTGGTCCCTGCAAGCGAGGCAGTGCCTCGCCACGTTGGGCAGATGAGGGACCCTCACGACAACACAGCGTCAGGCGTGACCTGAATTGCAACCCCCTTGCACGTCGACGATGACGTCACCGTGACGTCACCAGGTTTGACATCACGGAGATCAGCGCCCCCTACGCACGCGGCCTGCTGCTGGAGGCCAAGCCCCAGTTTGCAAAGTGGGCGGACGAGTTCAAGAAGCGGTCGGACAACCAGGTGGGGCGGATGTGGAAGCGCAGGCGTCCACGCGACGGGCGCTGGGTCAAAGCCGGGGCGCTTGCAGCCGGCCGCGGCGGTTCGCAAGCAGCGCCGCGCGTCGCGCGACGTGGAGGCACTGCCCGCTCAGGCCCTCCACCGACGCGCCCGCGGACACGCCCGCCGCCGCCGCCGCTGCGCGCGAGCGGGCGGGCGGGGTGCGATGCGCCGCGGCGCTGGGCGCGCGTGGGAGAGCTCCGCCGCGCCGGCGGCGCCGGCGCGGACGCCGTGCTTCCCCCTCATCAACCGCTCATCACATCCCTATCCCCCTCTGTTTCGTCCGCCCCCAGAACCGCGCGGTGGCCAACCTGTTCAAGTCCCCCAACCGGCTGGAGGACATCGGCAGCGTCATCAGCCGGCTGGAGAGCGGGGACCTGAAGCTGAGGGTCAGGGCGCTGGAGGCGGAGCGCGCGCTCACGCGCGTGCAGGTGCGCGTAGGGCCGACGGCGCTGGCAGGGGGGAAAGGGGGTCGCCGCCGCGCCACGGCGGCGGCCGCGTCCGCTCGAGTGTGCGCTCGGGCCCGGTTGGTGACCTGGCCGATGTCATCCTCGCGTGTCGTCTGACGGGGTCACGTGTGACGGCTGCGCTCTTCTTCCCGCCGACCGTTTTTCCAACGAAACCCCCGCGTCGATGTGCTGCTTCTCCGCCCCCAGGCGTGGCAGGGGGTGGTCAGCAGCGCGCTGGTGGCGTCGACGCTCGTCAACGTGGGCACCGTGCTGTCCGTCAGCGCCGTCACCACCGGCGCGACGCTCTGCTTCGGCGGCGCCGCCGTTTTCGGGGTGCTGCTGGCCAAGAGCTACCTGAAGGTCGCGGCGCTCGAAAAGAAGGAGAGGCAGCTAGCCGGGGCGATCTGATCTGTTCAGATCTCAGCGTGATCTGACGATCCGATCCGGTCGCGACCTGGGGCTATTGACGGGCCGATTTGGGCTGAATTTCCTCTTGGGCAGCTTCTGAGGGAGAAGGGGCGCATGGCGACGGCGGCCCGGGCGTATTGGTCCTTGCTGGCCGCGCAGCCCCCCCTGTCTTCTCAGCCAGGGCCCTGGGTCCATCTCTGGTTTGCATGATTGCACGTGTGTGAGCAAAGGCACCGCAGCGCAACCTTGAGCGCGCGTGCCCAGAGCGGCCACCCGCAACACGCGCGCTCTTCGCGCGGCGCAGCCGCGGCGCGCAGGGCTGCGGGGTGCGAGGGCTCGCCGCCGCAGCAGCGACAACGCGGCGCCGCACGCGCACTTGCGTGCGGTGCCGCGGCAGCGCGAGTACCCTGGGGTGCACTCGGTGCGGCTTGCCTCGCTGGTGGCTTGTGGCTTTGGTTTGGGAGTGTTGGTGGCATGAGCGCCACCCTTTGGTGCGCTGTGGTGCTGTTCAGTTTGGAGATACACCAACGCAGAGGGACTGACGTTTTCGATGGGGCAGCCATGCCATCCCTGACTGCCGCATTCCGCAGCACCGCTGTCGTCAAGCGGAGGCCGCAAGGCCGGCACCCCCCGCAGCACGCGACCCTTCCCGCGGGTCTGCACTCCCCCTGATCGTTGTTAAGACCGTTACGCAACCGGGGTTGTTGAGTAGGAAGCGGGAGGGAAATCCCAACAAGTAACAGAATCCCAGCCTCCGGCATCATCGGTACGGCGTGGCTAGGTCAAATGCGAGCGCTGCTTTGACCAGGGTGAGACAAAGCAGCGAACAGGCGCACTGGCATTGGTCACTCGGGTGAGTGACGGCACCCCAAAAAGGGAGCAAGTGGTACTGTTGGTCTTCAGGAGTTTAGTACGTCCTTGTGCCGTGGCGTAGCTCAGCCATTGCGTGCAGATTTCAGAGATCAGGAAGCCGGCACTCTATGCATGACATCCTGGCTGTACTAGTGAAATATATTGGGTCTTTGAAATCTCTGGGGGGACTCTCTTGGCTGGTGCTCGGACAACATGATCTTGAGTGGCCGGCTTTCCGCTGGCTTGCTGTCAACAGTGGAGTTGGCAGGTGCGTGAATGCATTCGATAGTTGCACTGAAATCGTTTGTGGGGTCATCATGCAGGGCCGAGCTCTGACGCCGACGTGCTCGCTCACTGCACTGGCGCTCGCTGCTCGTCGACCCCACTCCTCTGGGCCCAGGGTGGCGGGCCTTGCATGCTGTTGTGCCACCAGATGAAGTTTCAGCAATGACCGAGCGATTCAGGCGCAGCGGCGACAGCAGCACATGCAGGAGCGGCAGCAGCAGCAGCAGCAGGAGCAGCAGCGTTGGCACATTCACAAGCTGCAGCAGGAGCATGGGCTCGAGCCCTTGCCAGCAGCATCTAGGCCGCAGCTATGCCACCGCGTCGGCTGAGGGCAGCAGCACGGCCAGCAGCAGCAGCAGTAGCAGCAGCAGCAAGGCCACTTGCAGCAGCAGCAAGGTCCCCGCCGAGCCGGCGTGGAAGGCATTCTTCGCGCGCCCCGGCCGCCGCAAGCAGCGCCCCGACGCGTGGCGCGAGCGGATGCCGAGAAAAGGCGTCAACTTGGGCCGCTATGGCGTCCTGCTGCGGCAGCACGACCCCGAGCGCTTTGAGCGGATGCGGCTCGTCCTTGGTTACTATGACCTGCCAGAGAACGCCCACCTGCGACGGCCGCCGCCTGTGAGGACGGCGATGGTCAACAACCTCCAGACGCTGTTCTTCACGCGCGACGTGGACGCATACTACGCGTGGGTGTGATTTTGCAGCAGAATGGGTCGCGTTCGGGTACATGGGAGGGCCGGTGCCGTGCACGCCAGGGGTTGGGGCCGTCAATGAGCGTCGGACGGTAGCTGCAGAGTGCTTGCATTGCCGGGAACCGGCTGGGCCCCTGCCCGACGCTGCCCCTCCCTCTGGAATTCCGTTGGACCCACCCCAACCACGCAACCATGAGTCACACCCTTGCCCCCGCTCTCCACA